CTCACTCACTCACTCACTCACTCACTCACTCACTCACTCACTCACTCACTCACTCACTCACTCCACTCACTCCACGCACTCAGTCCACTCACTCACTCGCAGCACCCAGAGCGTCCAGAAGGGCCTGCGGCGCGCGTTGTCGCCGCTGGGCCCCCCTCGCTCTCTGCAGTGGCAGGCGCAGTACCCAGAGCCTCCAGAAGGGGCTGCGGCGCGCGTTGTCGCCGCTGGGCCCCCTGCGGCTCTGTGCGTTACTGCCATTGTGATTTGCAAAGCAATGGTTGTGACAGGCTGCGAATCGCATTGGAATGGCTGCGGCCAGGATGTGCGCACACTGTGTCTGTGCACTACTGCCATGTGATTTCCATAGTATTGGTTCTTGCCGGTTCGGACTCGGATTGTAAATGCTGCGAGAAGGATGTTTGCGAAGTGTGTCTGCGCACTGGTGCCATTGTGACTTGCAGGACCAGTGTTTGCGCGGCAAGCGAATCGCCTTGTAAATGCTGCATAGAACGCATAGAAGTTGCACTAGAAACTCGCCAGTACTAAAGGTGTTTGTTGCACTAGAAACGAGTGGATGTATTTCCACTCCACTCACTCACTCACTCACTCACTCCACTCTCTCTGCGCTGCTGCCATTGTGATTTGCAAAGAAAGGGGTCTCACTGCATGCGAATCGCATTGGAATGGCTGTGGCAAAGATGCTTGCAAAGTGTCTCTGCGCGGGACTGCCATTGTGTATGAGAACGGAGAGAAGGCATTCGCAGCCGATTGTATATTTGCCTTTTCTAGTGGGATTTTAGACCAATGCTACAATGCTGCTACCAGGTCTGGGCCTTAACCTTTTTGGTTGATGGTGGAGTTCTATTTGTGTGCTGAACGTCGAGCTGGTTTTGGTTTGTAGAGAGATCGTCAAAAAAGGCGACGTGACGAACTGTGTTGAACTTCCGAATCTATACATATACGTCTAGAACAGATGTGCTTTGGTCTGTCAAGAGGTCATCACAAAGAAGAATGTTGTTGAGGTCTGTATGCTGAGAAGTGCCGACAAGTCACTGCGGCATGTTTTGATAGCATGAGTGACTCACGTGGCAATGACTGACTCAAGATAGCAAAACTGATTGTGTTTTGGAGACGGCAAGACTCACTCCAAGTGCAGTGACAGAGCGAGAGTGACCGTCTGACTGTGTGACTGTAGACGGCTTACAGCGACGCAACGAACTGTTGTCAAGCACGTCCAACAATTTTTTGTCAGTTTGGCTTTCTTTGATCTCAGATTTTATATATTGTGGATATTGCATGCTAACTAGCGACGCAACCTCAGCTACTGCCATTGGCATTTTGTTGTGTGGTTTCGGAGGTAAGTCGATGCGACGAACCGTCGGAACACGTACATTCAATTTTAGTTAGATTCTGTATAGCAGACATAACAGACATAACAGATATCTAACACAGTGCATTACATACAGCAAATACAGCAGACATCATTGAACATCTAATATGATCTAACAAACATCTTTTCAGGATACAGTGCGAGATATCTACATCCAATAAATGTATATATATATATATATATGCAACATTTTTTTCCACCCGCACCTCGCCCAGCCATGGGTGTGGAAATTCGTGGCTCTGTTTATCGGGCCAGGATTAAAGTTGGCGGCGTGAGATATGTGGGTCCATCGCGACAGCAGCTGGCAGCGGCCGAAGCAGATCAGCGACAGCTGGAAGCTGCGCGTGCTGCAGGCGCTGACATGGAAGCATGCATCAAGCAGTTGTTTGCGTCCATGGAAGTTGATGCCAGAGCAGCCCGGGTAGAAGAGTGTATCGAAAAGCGCAAAGACAGTTTTCGTGCGCGTTTCCAAAAGCAAGGGCATACGTACTTTGGACCCCTTCGAACTGTGAGAGCTGAAGCATTGGAGGATGCCCAGACTTTGCTGGCAGCTGCTGACATTTTCATTCCAGCATTGCAAGCTGCGGAAACGAGATTGAAGGAGGAGAGTGGGCCGCCAGAAATGTCTTTGGAGAAGGCAGTGCTTGAAGCCATGTCGTACTGGCTGAGACAAGGTTCCACCTCGGAAATGGAAGGAGTTTCCAGGGCACTGAAGACGCGAATGCGTCGTGTGACAAAGGGTTCAGAACAAGATGCGCTCTTCGATGCGGCAAAGCTGCTAGTGAAGGAGCATCTGGAGATGGAGCATTTTGCTCAGCAAGCTTCTGCGGAATGGTTGTGGGAGAAAGGTGTGCATCTGAGGCTGGACTACGGCAGTCGCCCTCGTGACACTTCTGGTTTGCAAGATCGGTTTTGGCAGACTGGCCTGCGAAATCTGGGCAATTCTTGCTATTTGAACGCTGTTGTTCAGTGCATGGTCGCATGTCAGCCTCTGCGCAGGGATTTGTCTCAGAGACTGCGGAAAGGGCAGTTGCGGACATGCGTGGAAGAACTGACGCAACGCCTGCAGAGCGAGAAGTACGATTGCATCGCTCCGTATGCTTTACTAAATCAGATCTATTTGACCAATACCGTGAAATTTCCACCTGGAGAATCGGCAGATTGCAGTGATTGCCTCGAAATCCTGCTTGAGACTTGCATCAGTGACTGCGGGTTATATGTGAGCAGTGCGGAAGCCACAGGCAGAGGGCGTAGGGGGGGGGGAAGTGGATATATCAAACTAGCGCACTGCATGCGTGATGAAAGACACGTCATCTTTTAATTAAGAGTGTTTTGTCTTTGCTTGTTGAGACGCGCCGTTGCAAGTTGTGTGATAGGTGGCATCGAACACGCTGACGGTTTGTATATGATGACCAGCACGCCGATGGAAGTGGATCATCGTGCAATCACTGTGGAGGAGGTGATGCGGGCGAACTTTCCATTTGGCTGGCCGAACTCGGATGCTGTCATCCTGCAACTGGACGGCAACCGTGAGGGCGCTGCGATCGATTGGACGCAGCTACTGGCTCAGTCTGGAAGAGAGGACACGGCAAAATGTGACGGAACAAGCTTTGGTGTTAAGTTTCGTTTGGAGTAATCATTTTTTAAAAGTTCTTTGAGAGGGTGGGTTCTGAAGAATGCTCCTAGTTGCGACTGTTACCAGGACCGTCGCCATGTGTGCTACATTGTGACAGGTTTCGTAGAATTTCATGGAGGTCATTTCGTTGCTTATGTGAGACAGAAAAGCGACTGGATGAAATGCGATGATTCTGTTGTTAGTCGTTTGGCAGCTGGAGTAACCGGGAAGTGGCCGAGTCTGATTTTTCTGGAGAAACTGCGACGGCAGGCGTGAGTCGAGCCGGCGGTGTCCGCTTTGGCCCCGGGGGCCTGGTTGGCTCGGTTGCCGGGTTTGTTGGCTGCAGCCGTGACAGGTGAATCTTCGGACTGGCAAAGGCGAGTTGCTCGCAGAACCGAACTTCCAGCTTGTGGCGGGGGAAGGGCTCAAGACACACCGACACTGGACGGTGAGCAAGTTAGCATTGAAAGGTTCCTCCCGCAGACAGAATCGTGCTGGTCGCCAACAGGAACGGACTGGTCGGAGCCGGAAAGAAAATCGTACTGGTCGGAGCCGGAAAGAAAATCGTACTGGTCGGAAGCAGAAACAAAAGCGTGCTGGTCGGAAGCAGAAACAAAAGCGTGCTGGTCGGAAGCAGAAACAAAATCGTGCTGATCGGAAGCGGGAACAAAATTGCGCTGAGCGGAAGCGGGAAGAAAATCGTACCGATCGAACACAGGAATTTGTTGGCCCACGAGAGG